GATTAAGGGCAAGGTCCACAGAATAGACGCGCGATGCGACGCGACATGACATCTGTCAGACAAGCGATTGTCAGCTGATTATCACCGATCATCAACGGAACGCGCGTCACACGTGTGTAGTCACATCTTTGTCTCTTCTGTTTCATACAATATTTACAAGCGTCGCGATTTCGCACGTCTCACATCACCGACAATCACTTGATACCATCTTCAATCTCACATTTTAATTTAAATGCCACCACAAGTTGAATCTGTAAGTAAGTTGGTATTATTTCCAAATACATAGGTCATGTAAAAAAAACTGCGAGATTCATCCTTGCCTACAGCTACAAGCAGCAAAATTTTACTTGCTTCAACTGAAGTACAAATGTTACGTGTAGGTACCTACTTAGTGTCCATTGTCCCAAAAAATATAAACTAAAGAGAAGAGCAATAAAAAGATTGTATTTGAAAAATGAAAATTCTTGCTTTCCGTAAAGTGCGCACCTAACTTTATTTCACTCTGTGTGCGCTAAACCTAATGTTACGGTACCTTTAGTTTTAGACCGAGAATGTAGACTTAGATGTGAAACTTTTAAAAGTTTTACGGGCTTGTTTCATGAGTTTCCCGTTTTGGTGAGGTTTTTAGTTAAAGTTGTTTGGGAAGTAGTAAAAACCTCGTACACGTGAGTACACTCAACCAGTCCTGTCATGTAGTAGTACCACAAAATAGAGAGTACTTAGTATATAGTACTAAGTAACACAAATTAGGAAGACGGCGCTCGGTGTGCCTTTACAGATGGCTCACTCAATACTATTGTCAATTTCGACTCTTACTGACGTAAACTTGTAATATAGTATCTACTATGGCATCACCATCTTGCTTCCACCCACTCATTTTTATTCTATCAATAGCCATCATCGTTCACATTTTTGAATTTCATCTTATGTCGTTCCATATCACGTCATCCCTTTCATTTTCTTCACTCAATTCTAGTTCCCCGAGGACAACATACGTATTTCTCTGCCTGTGAATCAAGTTACAAAGTTAGAGTTACAAAGTTATTAACTAAAGTGTTAATCCGGTCTCGTGAAACGGTAAGTTAGCAAGCCTCATTATCCATAGCGCAACGAATATGCCTTTAGGCGTTGTCTATCTGTAGCTGTACTCATTGTGAATAGTTCCATTTTAGGGTCTTTTGTTCCACCAATAAATACCACCATCACAACTACAGACCTGCTTGGTTTTATCTGGGCACCGAACCTGCCATCATCCCCACATCCTGCTCTCCGGCGTGAGCGGCCGAGGCCACAAACTGCAAATGAACAAGAGGAACTCTTGCCACGAACGTCATAATGCTTGGATTAAAATTGGCTCGGAATCATAATTATTACGTTCTCGTATCAGATCTTGCTGTTTCGATATTCTTATACTTTGAGATCTTTCACAGTAGTAGCCCTGGCTGTGTAACTAGTGACCATCGCGAAAATCCTAAATAATCGAGCGATCCTTCTGTGAGTAGATCAACAAAAGAATAAATCTCAGAGTCTTAAATTACTTATACCCATTATACGGATCGACACACGGTCTCAATACAATATTCAGATCATTACATAAGTTTACACATTCGTTTAAGTAACTCTACTCATAAGAAAAAAACATTCCCTACTTTGATTTCTCTAAAAGTAACATTCTTCTTGTTTCACATATTTCAACACTGTTTGTATTGATTTTTTAACACTGATCACAGAATAGATTACGTAAATAGAAATAGCCTACTACGAGTATTGTATCACGTACCTACTGGTTCCACGGTTTATAAATATTTTAAAGTAATTTATGAAATACCTGCCACGTACGATCGTTGATTGACGATCTTTAGAAAGTTTGTCATAGCCAGTATGCATGTGTGTGTGTAATATTTTTAAGGTAGTTACAATATGTTTATTTGATGCTTCTAAGTTCGCATGCAAAATTCGAAAAATAAAATTTATAATCTTCCCAAGAGGGGTTGACGTCTGGTAGGCAGTCTGGAAGGCGGCCGGTCGTAAAATTAAGCCAAATCCTTTGCAACACGATTTTGTGTTCAAAAAATCGTGTTGCGCCGACCCCAAGTAATTGGGATAAGGGCAGGAAGATGATGATGATGATCAAGGTGCCAGCGTGCCTCAATGAAGCTAACATCATTAACTGCATAGAGTTGTTTTTTTTTTATGGTTGAATATTTTTATAAATTTTATTGAACAAAAACAAAAAATACAATAAAAAAACACCCGCGGTTGCTTTCTTGGCCTACGTTAAGTATGTACTAGGTGCAAATCTCCGTCTCGTTGTGTTTCCAGCTGATTTTTACTGATATAAACTCTACATTATTTTTAGACCTTGTGGATTACTTTGATGTTATATTATTTTAGTTTCATTAGTTTAAGAGCCCGTTTATTATTTTTAATTAGTTACATGTTATTCTAAATTCCGGTCCTTAGAAGGCAACTTTACACCGTCAATGCGGGTGTATATGTACCAGGATTCGTTTTAAGATTAGTTTTCTTTTTTATCTTGTTTACCTACGCCCCGCGCGCCGACTCCCTAATTTGTGCTAGACTTTGATGTTAAACAATCCTGAACTGAACATGACCAAACTCAAATAAATTCCGGCCCTAAGAAATCAACTTCACACTGTCATGTATGTGGCAGGTGCAAAACTCCGTCCCGCTGGTCCCAGCAGGTTTCCACTGATATCCTAAATCCCACATCATTTTTCAAACCTTGTGTTGTACTTTGATGTCATATTTATTTTAAACAACCTATGATGTTATAAGATGGTTTCAGAGCTTGTTAATTAATTTTAATAAGTTACACATTATTCTAAATTCCGGCCCTAAGAAGGCAACTTCACACTGCCATGTATGTGGCAGGTGCAAAGCTCCGTCCCGCTGGTCCCAGCAGGTTTCCAGTACGCTGCGCCCTTTGATCTTCCACCTGATGCGCCCGCCCTGAAATAGAGCAGACGCGGACCGAGACAGGGATATGTAGCCGAGATACATTGTAATAAGAATAAAAGGGTAATTGGATTGGGATTAAAAGACTCGACGTCAAATTGATGGTTGGGGAAACGGACGTTTTGAAAAAGCATTGATATCGTAGTTGCGTCTAATCTTTTAAGTAGTTACTTATATAAAAGTAATTTAGTTTTCGAATACGAAACGAACAATCACACATACGCTGACAGTTCGTATTTATGTAATTACAACAATCCATATTTAAATTACGATGTAAAATACATGACGATTTTGGCAATGACCCTATACAATATTTTTCTGTAGCATTCTACTACGACGCAGGTAATGTAGCAATCTTCTACGGCTCGTAGCAATGATGGCAAATCTAGAGCATGAAAGTTTAAAAGCCAATGGTTCTGGAATTCGCTACTTGTATGTATATTGTAGTTAAATGAGCTACTTTTTAAAACAATACTTTGTACGAATGTAGGTACTATATTTATTTATGATAACGTCAAAATAACATATTTTAAAAATATTTTCTACTTAATAATTATTAACTTTGCATATTTTGAATAACAGTGTCAGTTAATCTCTGGAATAAGTAGCTCAAGCCGCTGTCAAGTACTTTTAAGTACTACTTACTTCCTTATTAAAAACTTTATTAATAAAACTGTTGACAGACGAGAGAAAATGTTTCAATAATTAATTTTATTCAAAAGATTGCGAACAACATCTTCCGAACTGGTTATTAATTTACGATTTGGTTTTCTAAGTGAGCCATCGTTCGTTCTTTCTAATTATTAATTAATTTGCAACTTCTGACTTGAAAACTTTGTGATGAAACTCATAATTAACGAGTCTTACATCAAAATAGAAGACTAATGGGTTAATCGATATTAGAAAACACGAAACTTTTCGCCTCAGGCGAGAAGCACACGCTAATTTCCGTTTGCGCGTCGTTTGTTCCATTTTCCATCTTACTTTCATACGAATATACACGGTTTATATTCGTGGTTTATATCAAACGGTTTGACAGACGCATCCGTCGATGCAGCGTTGTGCGATGCCGTTTGATATAAACCCTATTCGTAAGAAGGTAGTAGTTTGAGTGGCGACCGCTAGCAACCCTATCTCATAAAATAATAGAATATTTTAGCTATGTACGGGTCAAGGAGCTCTAGTAACTCGAATTGGTCGCGGTCTGCCGCGGCGCAGCTTGGCACGTTTGGCGGAATAGCAAAAAGTTGGCCCTCTGAAAATAGTTAAAAGTATCTCAGCCGGCAGACCAAGATTTATACGCTTTACTAAACTGCTCCTATTGCTACAACCATGTCTCATTCTATTATTCGATGAGATATTTTTAACTGTGGAGAATCGAATAAATGACGCACGCACGGACGTTGCGTGTGTTTTTCTTCCAGTCATTATCATCGTAACATAACAAGTCTTTCAACTTTAGAGTCGAGTCTGTTTCTTGTTACAGACACCGGTATTCTTTGGCACAAGCTCCACAGAGCAGACGTGAGACGTAAGAGGACATCGCGACGATTGAAACCGTTTCCATATTAAATGTATGAAACAGAAAGAACAAAGCTACACACGTGAGACGCGCGTCCCATCGGTAGCGGCTGATGATCGCTTGTCTAACAGGTGTCATGCAGTGCGTTCGTCGCATCACGTTTCTATTCTGTATATTTCTAGTCTCAGTCATTATCGTCGTAACACAACAAGTCTTTTAATTTTAAAGTGGAGTCTATTTCTTGTTAAAGACACGAGTACCTATTGCTTGAGATCATGAAACTTTGTCAATTCGTCCTAATTAGTAGGTGATTAAGATTCATTCAAGTTACCTAATATAACAGCCACCTTAACTAGCCAATACTTACTTTGTGCCTTAAGGTGCAAGTTCGTCATGCACAGCCGCGTGAGGCTGCGATCAGCCGCACCTGATGAGCTTACACCTTTACAAATGCCACTTTTGACAATAAACTAAAAATGAGAAAATTGAAAAATTCATTAGCCACCGCCGCGACTAGAACCCAGGACCGTGGGGTACCGTCCCACCGCTCTGCCAACTGAGCTACGGGCACCTGGCGGACCCTGAAGAATCTTTCAACCTCTTGATGCTCGTCTCGAAGCGACGATTAACGAACTTATGACAGCTACAATTGAATGGCGGTAACGACTGACACGTTTCTGGTATTAAATTTCGTAAAGCCGAAAAATCGATCCGGAAAAACACCGGAAAGTCATGCGGTACGCGTGAGAAGAAGCAACTCCAATCAATACCATGTCATTATGTCATATCATAACACTACAAAAAATACCGGTTTCGATTTAATCACACTTATCATTATATAATTGTTTATACCTACGCGTGGCCCACACGTAACGCTGCTTTAGTATAGCGCAGTGCTAACGCATGCGTCTGTCAGATGCATACAAATTCCGAACTTCCTAAGAAAAAAAAATACGTTAAAAAAACGAAAGGCAAGTTTCTGTACTGCGCTATTTCAATGAAGTACACTTCTCATCAGAAAAACCGAGACGCTTTCGTTAACATGGTCACAGAAAACATGAAACCTATGAAATATTCATTTGAATTTGTAATATGTAAGTAATGATTTCATAACCTCTTAATACTCACTATTAAACTATATAAATGTATTCCTTAGTAATCACATTTATCTGATAATTTGATTCTAATAAAACTTAAACTTGCATGGTGATTATATTTTAACTTCGGTTTTAAGTATGAGGAATTTCAATTTTTAGGCATCTGATCTGATAGCCCTGCGCCAAAATAATGCAGCCACAGCGTTAAGTGTGGGACCCGCCTAACCTCATTAACAGAAGACAAGTTTGACATCAGCGTGATTGATGAAAGTTACATTCACACCTAAAACTTTTGTCCCTTTCTAACAAACGGTAATTTGCACTGGCGGGAGCAGGATAAAATCTAACAATTTTGATTTTATCACTTTCTACGGTTCTGTTCTGCTCAAAACAGGACCCTATTATTGAGACTTCGCCGTCTATCTGTCTGTCACCAGGCTGTCCGGCTGTCATACATAAAGCATGATACCTAGGCTCGTATTTATAAATCGCAATTAACCAACTCTATTTTGAGAATTGTCAGCGTAATAACGGTATCTCAAAATCGCTCTCAAGATCGATTTCAAAGTTGAGTGCGATTTGTAAATACCTACAGAGCTAAAACTTTCACAGATGTTACATAGACAGCGTCACAGATGTTAGTTAGATACAGAATGACAAATATACACGAAAGGGACTGGAAAAGCCCGTAATCACGTAGGGCTCATTTTGAATTTAAATAAATAAATACATTTCATCAACACTTCATTTTCATTTGACTGCTCAAAGTTCAAATAAAGTTGCCAACGCGAAGTTGACAATTCGGTCTACATGATGTGATGAGTCATTATTACAAGAAACTCAAATAAACCAGCAAGAATAATTTCATCACCCAACGAGGCTCCATATTTAAAAGTTGTTCAGTTCCGTGTCTGATCATGCCTGTAAAGTTTTTGGTACACCAACTTTACACTTACACCGGGTATTTTTATGGTTTTAGTCGGTTTTATGACTAACTTCCGTTCCAACACCGATAATCGACAAAAATAACAGCTTAACTTTAGCAAACTGCTTTCTAGAACAAACTGAGGTCGCTCTAAAATTAATATTGTAGCGCACCTGTGCAACAAAAATTTAATATGGAGCTGAAAATTAATATGGCATTTTATTATATGTCGTCGTAAACGGTAGGTGTATGCTGCAAGGTTCTAATATGAGCTAACACAAATTAAAAACACCACTTACTTTGCTTTACGCTGTCGGGGAAAGGTTACGTGTTTTTTTTTTATGTGATAGTAAGCTCATAAGTATGCAGGTAAAAAATACATAATGTGCCTTATTTAAAAAAAAAACTTCGTCTAAAATGGGTTAATAAATGACAAAATTTGCATTATTTTTAGCTTAAACGCTGTCATGAGTCGTGCATATAGACACAGCTCGCTACTATTATATATTACGTTTGAAAACTTTCAAAGTTGCCAGAAAGGAAGTTTTCAGGTAAACCGGACCGGAGTTTACCTAAAACCATTCCGCAATTTTCACCTCTAACTGAAATGGACGTAGGCCTCCCACAGGGACGTCGTAATCATAAGGCACAGTATCCCGTTTCACCATCCAGTAACAACACAAGTAGATGTGTTAAAAAACAAAAAACCCGACTGCGGTAATTTTAAAGTAGTATTTTGCTGTAAAAATCCGCCATCTTGAATCTATAATTTTTTAATATAGCCATTGTCACTTGTGCTGCTGAGTCGAATCTAACGACACCTCATATGTCAAAATCCAACTATCCGTTTGGGCTGTAGCCCGCGAAAAAGAATATTCTTGTCCACATACATACATACATACATACTCTCGAAAAACATAACCCTCCTTCTGAGGCAGTCAGGTAACAACAAAAGAGCGGCTTTTTATGGTTATACTAAATATTGACATACGAAATTCAATCGACTTAAATATGAGCTGCAGAGCAAAAAAGTAAATGCGAATTGTCGCAAAACTATTTATAGTTTAAAGATAAAGTGTTTTTCTCCACAATAAAATCAAACTTACTTAGGTAATTATAGCAGCATCTCCATCTACTTTCGTAAAATGGAGTAACGATTTTACAGGACCTTAAGGCATCGGTTCTTTTACATGTAGGTAATTCCGCAAAATCAATCAAAGGCAGTTTTGAGACCCAGGAGTTACATACCTACACAAAATATCAAGAATGAAGCAAGTGGTTCACAATTTATCCACTATGGATAGAACCTACTGTAATGTAGCGGTTAACACGTCTGACCCGGCTAGTCTGAAGATGTAGGTTGAATTTTTTTCCATTTGTTTCGTTTGTATTAACTTTGTAACCAAAAAAGTTAACATAAAAATGTTGCCTGAAATAAATTAATCGAACGCTGAACCTTTCGATACCTACTGACAGCTGGATGATGAGAACACGATTCAATACAATCAATCAACTAACGCCGACAGCACTTTCCAAACTTTTATAAACAATCGTTCAAAGTCTCAGGATAACAGAATATTTCAGAGGAATCTTTACAACTGCAAATAAGTAGAATATAGGTAATAAAACTCAGACTTGATGCGAACTATGTTCAGTGGGAAAAGGCGTCAATACTTTACGGGACACTGTCCCTTACACCAAGACTTGCTTAGTATAGATTATTAAAGCCTTATTTAAAGTAGTTTTTCCTACCAGGCGCCGGTAGCTCATTTGGCAGAGCAGTGAGACGGTACCCCACGGTCCCGGGTTCAAGTCCAGGCCGACGCTAACGAATTCTTCAATTTCCTTAGTTTCAATTTTAATAAAATATAGCACTGTGAGTGCATTGAAATCCCAATACATTAGTATTTTCTTTTTTAGCAGGTGCCAAGTCTAGTTCCGTAAATTGTACACGGCCTCATTTTGCTTAGTCTCTGAAACACTCATTTGCTCTGAGTGCAAACTTAACAAATTCAACGGTCTCTGCTCTTCGACTGGGAGAAACAAAATGTAAAACAATTTTACAGTTTGAGCGAATTTGTTTTAGCACCTGAAAAGATGCTCGCCACTTCAAACGCTGTTGGTAACTTTCGTCATTACGACGACTCGAAAACTTTTGCCGCCAAAAAGTTTGAAGACAAAAATCTGACGCCTTTTCTCTTTTTTCACGGTTAATGAGTAACGAAAAGGCGGCGGTCGCGGAGTTTTTTTGGGGTTCTAAAGAGGTTTAATGTAATGGCAAGCGAGATATTGTAACGCGGCCCGTGCCGTGTGTTTCTGGTTTAAATGAGAAACATACATAACGTATGTCTGTGCGTTATTCTGCGCTTCGTAACGCATGCTTTAGGACAATACGAATTTCAACCTTAATTGCATACAAATACGGTTTATGAGAAAAGGTTTGAAAGACCGTCCGAATGGCCGTCGACGCGACGCAGCGATGTGCGAAATCGAATACGGTTACGGTACATACAAATACGGTTTGACATAAACCGTATTTGTATGAAGTTATGGTGGAAGGTCGCATTTTACCAGGCCTGGCGCACTCCGCGGCGTAGGTATAGAGTTGCAAGTACGTGCGGCGACACCCCCGGGAAGGTTAGTCAGTTGGTTGCCGCGCGCCGCATACGTTCGCATTTCTTCACGAGATTTATTTTATTTTATCTATTCTGTATTAAGTAACTCAGCTTCTTACCTCATTCGTTAATTTTGTATGATAATGCAATTTTCATATTTTTTCTAATATTTGTGCTTTGATTTTCTTTCAATATCCTACGTTTAACAAAACATTTTATTTTTGTTTTACTTGGGTGTAGAAATGTACTCCAGTACACTTTTCGTAGGTACCTATTTTCATATAAATCTCGAAATTCGCATCCCTACAAAGCGTGCCAACTGTGACCTTCAGAGGCGGTCTGCGGCAGAAGACCTTTCGCGCGCAGCAATTCGGCTCATTTTTGCTTGCGCGCGCGATCAGTAGGCTAATATAAAAGTAGGTATTCAAAGCCGGCGCGAAGGAAATTGTACTTTATTATCGCGCATAAAGATTTATATTTGTTGAATTGCTTGGCGAAGTGCGTCTTCTGTACCATTTTACTAACGCATGCATTATTATCATTAAACTCCTAAGAATATGTTATTTTCCAACTTTTCAAAGGCCTTCCTACCCACCGTGGGCAATCGTGTAAAAAAAGTAATAGGTACTCCTTATTAGGCATATCTTTTAACTTATTGTAATATTGTTTTTTATTTACTTTTTTCTCTTTTCTGAACCCTGAAGAAACTATTCGGGCTCAAAATTCTCGCATGAAAAACCAAATTTATCCCCTCGTTATACAAATAACCTATTACTGTCTTCAAAATGAATAGACATGAGCAGTCATGCCATTATTCACAATAAAACGAGGAAACCTCTATTTCGCGAGTATTTTTTGGGTAGGTAGTATTGCCTCTCAGTTTACCATTTGGTTGGCCGGTAGAGAATGCCTCATGGCATTAGGCCCGCCCT